CAGCTTAATGCTTGAGAATACGCAGCCCCCTCACCTAAAATTAATTTGTCAAATTCATGCACCTTGCCTCAGAAAAAAGCTGGCTCTGCTGCATATGTTTTAGGCAGGTTTTCTTCTGAAGTTATGCTGCAAAAGAATGCAAGATCCATAGGTTAGAAAAAGTAACAGTAAGGGGTGACCTCTTCCTGCAGCCCTAATTTTAGTGTACTTCACTGGACAAGCAGATATGATATATAAATGCTGGATAAAAATTACAAAGATTTCCACTAATAAGGGTTTACATTCTGGCTTTTTACTGTCCTAACTGAGTTCCCAAACTGCTGGTATATGGACCCATGATCTTTACACCCTCTACTGCTGTCCTACTGCCTTTTGCACTCTTGATCCTACTGCCTTTTGCACTCTTGACTGCACAGTAACCTCACTTTTCAGAAAGGTATACAATTCTTTCCTGTGGGCTTCAGTTATCTGCATAGAGGTATCCTGATTTGGGATCAGTGATGGGATGGACAGAATGGCTCTCTCTGTACTAGTAAACTAAACAGGGCCAAACTTTGCAGGGCTCAGGCACTGTGTTAGGGTTATCCATACTAACTGTTAGCACAGTCCCTTACAGTTTGGCCTGTGCCAACAGGCACTGTCCCAGACAATGCCCAGACACTCCTTGGGATCAGTGCAGGCCACAGATTGTTTCCATTAGGCAGAATGGGTGAGGCCACCCTGAATTGTGAGGATAAGAGATTTTAGCCATATGGATGCTGTGTTGTGCTTCTTGTCCTCAGGGCTAGAGAATGAGCCCTGGCCTGTTTTATTTATTAGTATAGCTGTAGCCAATAATTCTGACCAAATGGAAACAGATTTTTGTTGGGCTACTCACATATCTTTGGCAAATGCTTGATGCTCCATGAAGGTTACTAGCCAGGCACAGCTCCAGCTGAATTCATGTGTTATGTAGTGCTGAGTCTGAAGCACTAAACCCTATCCAAACTCAAGATGGGAGAGCACTAAGGAAAACAGAGTGAGAATAATATGAAAACACCTAAGTAGATCTGGAAGGATGAGCTTGAGTCTGGCATGAAACTAGAAGTAAAACCCTGCTGGTTCCTGCAGGGACACTTTATTATCTTCAAAGTACTGCACAGTATTTCTGACACCTGAAGCACATTGCTGGGATGTTGTGCTGACTCAGCACTGAGCTGACACAGGTGTCTGGGCCTGTCTAGCACAGATTCCATTTGTGTGCAAGCAGTCTTACTGTTTCTGGACACAAGATGGCCCGAGCCAACAGCTCTGTCAGTGTAGCCTGCCTGGTGCTGAGCCAGCTCATGTTGTGCCATCTGTGAAGCAGTTGATATGCAACACAGACACTGTAGCCAGGGAAAATCATTTGGTTGCTTTTTAAAAAAAATGATTCCTTTACTTTATTGCTCTTTTTTTCATGCTGTTGATGTTTATCCTTGAAAAAAAATTTACTTAAAAATTATAGTGAACAAAGAGAGGAAGATTTCTCTTTCAGCAAAGGTTTGGATGATGAAAAAAGAAAGTTTCTCATTTCTCAGTTACTTTAATTGTTATACTGGTAATCTATCTTGGAAAGATTAATTTTTATTGAAACAGTTCTAGTTCTGACATCAAAATCTCAAAAATACTTTTCTATTTTTTTGAAAGAAAGAAAATTCACATGTGCATCTGACTCCTGGAAAATGCAGAGTTTTTGTAGCTCAAATGGACAGTTTCAGAAACTTGGGGTTGAGGGGAAGCACAAATGCTAATTCAGTACCCTCAGAGAAATTATCTTTGATAACTGGGGGAAAGCACAAATGCTAATTCGGTACCCTCAGAGAAATTATCTTTGATAATTAGATTAGATACAGCTTAGATCTAACTTGATATACCAAGTGGAACTGTCAAGGTGTGTCAGAAAATGTATGAAAGGAAGATACAGTATTTGTTGAGTGTTAAGAATCCTTCAAGTTATGAACCAAACAAACTTAGAAGATGATTCCATCACTAAGGAATAAAGTCCTATTCTGAAAGCTGAAATTCTGAGGTTCAGCACACATCTCCCTGAAGGATAGGGCCTCCAGGATTTTTAAAAGCCATATTTTTGATTTTCAGTGTCAAAAGTTTTATAAAGAATGAGTGAAGGATTAATACAGCAGTTGACCTAAATTTCAGTCAATTTATTTTTTTTAATTTCAAATTGGAATCTTACATAGTATAATGAAAGTGTACTAGAACTATGGAACTTACAAAAATGCAACGTATTTGGCCTGAACTAAGTATAGAACTGGTCAGGGCAAATTCTCTAAAGGCTGATATTTGGTGAAAAGTAAGGGTGATGCTTTGGTTCAGAGAGGTGGAGAAGGGTCTGATATGCTACTACTCTAGCTATTGTTAACGTGGCAGGAAAAAGTACTGGAAAACAGGAGAGGGTCTGATATGCTACTACTGTAGCTATTGTTAGCATGGCAGGAAAAAGTACTGGAAAACAGGATAGTGCAGTATTGCCAGTCTTCTGGTTTGTTTTCAGCTATTTGTAGATGTTGCATCCACATGTCAAGTTTTAAACCTCCCTTAAACTACTCTGGAGATTCCTAGATAGCGAAATTAGAGGAAGGTAGAAATTAGAAAGGTAGAGTAAGAAATTATGCTGCATGTCACACTTGGAATAAGTGATTGGAATGGTTTACCTGTATTGGGATTTCTTCAATAAGATGATTTACATTCTGAAATTAAACAGTGTACTTCAATTATAATGTTACTTGAATTACAAAATTAAACTTGTAACAGTAACATAGCGAAAATAGTAACTTTTAATTTTTATTAGTTTTATTGCTGTCTTTCAGATTTCGGGAATATAAAACTATAGAAACTTTGGTAGAACTGCTGACTGATCAGCCTGAAGAGGTCCTCATAAATGTCATTGGAGCACTGGGAGAATGTTGCCAAGAGGAAATAAATCGAACTACTATCCGTAAATGTGGTGGAATACCACCTATGGTGAAGTTGTTAACTGCAACTGATCAGGCACTGCTTGTGAATGCCAGCAAAGCAGTGGGAGCTTGTGCAATAGAACCTGAAAATATGATGTAAGTTATTCATATTCACAGCATTTTAAATATTGAAAAAAAAAGTAGCAATTCTGATGCCAATATGGTCAATTTTAGTCTGAATTGAAAGAATATTTTACTTTTTGTTTTTTTCAGGACTGTGCGGGTTAGTTACATCCTACTGTGAGTGTGCTATAAGTTAAGGAAATACATAGAATGTAAAGCTTTTGCATTTTGAGGAAAATCCAATAACCCTTTAGCAAATTGATTTTTGTTAAAGTTAAATTTCAAATTTACACAGCACCATTTTGAAGTGCTGCATGATAGGTATGTGTTTTGCTTTCCCCTTTTACATCTATACTCAAATCATAAATAATAGCCTAAATTAAGGAAAGTTATTCTAAAAGGAAACATGCACATTTGCTGCCATGAAAATAAATTTTAATTTCTTAAAAGTAGAGTATTACTTGTATTTTATTTCTCTCATTTCTCTCCATCATTTCCTTTGTGAACTCAGTTTTGGACCCTTTTCTCCCCTCTTACTCCTTTGGAAAACCAAAGAAAGACTGTCTTTTTACTGAGAGAGCTGCTCCTCTTTTTGATTCTGTGATCTAGATTTGTACAACTTACAAAGATCCTTGAGTTTTATGGTTATGTATTCCAGTTCAATGTTGAGGTCGTCATTTACTGCACTTACCGTTCCCTTACAGGGATGTTTACTTCAAGATTCTTGACATATTTCCCTCCTTATACATAAGGGAGGTCAGAAAGAGAGTTTTATTAAGCTCCTCCTGTTCTGATTTGCATAATTCACTTGATATTCATATAGCAGTGCAGGGAATTCTTTTCCTGAATAAGGCTTTTGTTTTCATGCTTTGGCTGTCACCCAGTGGCAAAAGGCTAGATGGTACACAACTGTAAACATGGGTTGTGTGAGCAGTTAGCCATGTAGCATGAAAGTATAAATAAATGAAGTCACTTTCATGACCTAGCTCACTAAAAGTCAGCCTTTAGCATGATCTATTAACCTAACAGAATGAACATGGCAAATAGTAAAAAATTTAAATGCCAATAAACATAAATTGATATTTTTAAAACCTCAGATGTACTCCAGTACTCAGAACTGTCAATGGAAGTATCCAGTGTGGATAGCTTCATACTGGAATGTGTTTGGTATAAGCATAAAAAAGTAATACAAGTTGCTGCTAAAACTGTGATAGAACAAAGTCCATCTTGTTTTTAAGGAGAGAGTACAGGTTGCTTGGGACAAAATTTTATAGAGTCGGTGAAGAGTGAACAAAGGAATCAAATGTTGGATTTGGTTCACATAAAAAATTCTCTGTTAATGTTGTCAGCTTTAAAAGTGTTTTTAAAAGTATTTTAAAATGTTGACAAGTAAGCAAGATCTTAGATCAAGAGTAGCATATCTTTTTTATTACTACAAAAAGACATGTTACACAATTTAATATTATTTGCAAGACGTTGACAAGTACCTGATGTATTGTGCTAGTTGGGCTTGTAGTTCTGGAAGAAATAATGCAGCTGTCTTTTCCCAAAGCAGGATTCATCCATGTGTGGATAAGTTTGATACCATTTCAGCAAAAGTTTTAAAAACAATGCCTAGTTAAAACACTGACAGCAGTGTAACTGTTCACATGTTTGATTTTCTTGATTGTTGTGCCAAGGTTAAGAACACTTAAAAGCAACTTCCTCACTTGCCACTCACACTCACCAAAAAAAAAAAAAAACAAAAAAAGAACCAAAAAGGGAAAATAGAGAAAAAGCAAAGTACCTCTATGCCTCTACCTTCTCCTTCTCTCAAACCAGTACAGCATGAGTTGAAATTGTAGCTTCTCAGCCAAACTGCTCTTCTAGATGGGAAGAGTAAGTCACCAAAGGCATGAAGGATACACAAACACAGTCTGTAGTATGACTGTTCTGTTTACAGAATTGGGGCCTAAAAACAATCAGTAGTCTTGTTAGAAACTATCAGGGAGTTCAGTCTCTTTCTGTAAACTCTTTTTGAAGTGCTTAACCAAAAGGACACATCTTAACAAGGATGTGGAGATGTGCCAAGATTATCTTCTAGAAAGAAGCAAAGCAAAGCAACTTGTAGCCTCTAAGTTTATACAGGTGATGAGAACTTCCTATTGAAGGCTGATACTTTGCTCTTTCCAGTCTTTCTGATTCATCTAACTGGATCCCTCTTACATTTCTTATTTCATAAGGACTTCTCAGAATGACTGGACAGGTTCTAGATGATCAGTTCTTCTCTACTATTAGCTTTTGTCCTGACAAATTTGGCTGGCAGGTCTCGAGGCTTGTATTCTTTGTCAGCTGGTACAGTTGAGCAATCTTCCTGTTTTTAGTGTGGTTATTCTTGCAGCAGCAGGTAGGTGGAAACCATACAGACCTAGAGTGGAGCTCACATAATTTCTCTGAGTGTTTCAAGGGCATGTAATGAAGAGGATGGGGTTAATATAAGAAAAAAAAATAGTATTTCGTACTATAAAAACCTGAGAGCATTCTATGAAGCAGTGCAGCTAAATTCTGAGGAGAATACTGTATGTTCCATAGAAGGAGACTGCACTGACCAAGAGAGGCTAGTAGATAGGCATAGGTGAATCTACAGCTTCTGTATGTCTTCTATATGTTTTATTTCTGACATAGTCAACACTATAACTTCTACAGCTACTGAGTGGAAGGTACACTAGTGTTACTTTTCTGCATCAGTCCTCTATGTCAAGGCAACTTCAAGCAATTAAGTGATTCTTATTGACTCTATTGAGCTGTGTAAAATAAAGGACAGCAGCCAGTTTCTCTCACAGCAAAAAAATAAGTTGAAAAAAACATAATTATGCAACCAAACTTCCTTACTGTTATGTGGACAACATGAAGCTTTTCTCCATAGTCGATCTGCTGCACCACCACTGACAAAGATGCTGTTGCACATTTTTAATATATATTTCTCTTTTTGAGGAACCTTTTACAAGTTATTTCTTTTCTCTTACTAAAAACAAAGAACCAGTGCTTATTCTTTAACTGCCACTAGATTTTCATTTGCCCTTTCCATTTGAAAACCCACAGACTTCATTGCTAGCATTCCAAACTGAGGGTTTAGAATCTTATAAACTAAAATGTACAATTATTTTAGCCAAACAGATGGAGTTTGAGTCATTGGTATATAATACTATTTATCAAAGCAGTCTGCAGCAACTAGTGAAAGTTTTAAGAAACATGCTAAATTGAGGTTTCAAAACAGAAGAGATTACATTCTGCCAGAATTAAACCCTGTAATCTTAGCAGTAAGCACAATACAGGGTCAGTATAACTTTGTTTATTTACATTTGTATTTGTGGTCTAAATTGGCAGGCAATTAAACTAGAGTTCTCAAAGTTCTGGCAAATAACATTCTAACAGAGAAAGATGATAGATATGACAAACAGATGTCTAGGCTGTGTGTACATATGTGTGTTTAAGCAAATCATGTTGACTTTTCTACTGGAAATATTCAATATTAAGTTTTAATTTGCAAGAGAATGTACTACTGCAGATTAACAGCTTTGCTTGTTTCAGCTATATTAAGAAAAGCAAAGCAAATTTCTAGAATGGTGACCCATGTTTTGCTCATGATGTTCAATGATGTCATGACATCAAGATTCTTAAAAGAAATAATGTGAAAAGACTTCGTTAAACAACTGTGTTAGGTTATCTGCAGTGGTCAAATAGCAAATACCGATTCACTGTAACGTAAACATTCCAGTAATCTCTGAATAGATTTAATTGCATTGAAATTATTTGCCCATAAAACTTATTCTATATATGCCATACCTCAGCTGCTCTGTGTGGAAAGCAGGAAGATGTTTTGGTCATACACCTTTTGATAGGAGTGATGTTATGTGCATACACCTTCACTTCTGCTCTAATCATGTCTGGCTGGCACAGGAGCTCATGATAGGAGCTCCTCTTCAGCCTTTTCTAACTGCCAATGCAACTCCTTTTGGTTATTTTGAGCAGCAGAATAATCTACACCTATTCTCAATTATATCAGTGATAGATAAGATCGGTCTATGACAAGGCAAAGAGCTTTGAATGAAAAGATGATCTGCATCAGTTGTGAGATGCTTTGGCTATGTTAAGGAATAAAGCCACAACAGTTCAGACTCTGAGCTCCTGCATTTGAACTCTGAATATTGATAGGTTGTGATGGACTTGTAGTGAAGCACCAGATAGCAATTACCCATATTAAAGTTTACATTTCTTCTTTGGGAGAGCTTCATGCCTCTTAAGGTTTTGACTGTTCATAGTGTCCTGTACACTAGATGCATTACATACATGCAGATCAGCTATTCTCTAAAGCAGCTAAATGTTTGAAGATTAAAGTATTAAATATGAAGATTTTTATATCAACAAAATATTGTGTTATTTCAGCTTTTATGATATTCCATTCAGCTTTCAAAGAAAATGCTTTGCACTTTTCTTATAGATCCTGCCTTTTAACAGTCCCATGAGTGGTTGCTTACTACAGATTTAACTTTAGTTTAATGTTATCATCAGAACATCAACAAATTATTGTAAAATATATGATTTAAGTGACTGAAACCACAGACTGAATAATGTGCTAGCTGTGGATGAATACAGAATTGAATGCCAACTAAAGGAAATTTTCTGGTATATTTGCTTGTATTTATTGTGGTAAGCAGCTTTACTACAGCATCCTGCTAATAACATTAGAATGCATTTTGAGAAGAAAATTAGATACAAAAACTATATACAAAAGCAAATCAGAATATTGTTTGGCATGATGCCATCAGAGCTGAAATTTTCAAGATTGCAGATTCTTTTTTCCTCTCTCTTTCTTTGTTTATTTGTAAAGAAACCTGAATGTGTATTTTTATCAACTGTAGAAAGGAATTTTTACATATGAAGGAAACTAATGTCTAAGCACTTTTATAGAGGAAACATTTTTCAGGACCATTTATTTTAGTGTTCCCTTTGCTGTTAAGGCAGATACACTCATTCAGCACCTATTTTCTTCATCTGCTTCATCATCGTGCAGTGAAACCACAGAAAGATAACAAACTGAACTCTTTAGCAATGCTTTCTTGATTGACAAATATATATTCTCAACAAGATGAAAATAGAAGGCTTTGCATGGTGATTACACAATGATAATTCTTCCAGAATGAGAATTTAAGGGCATTAGTCATGTATATAGGGTTTTATTTGAGTTAATCTATTGTAACTGCAAGAAAGCAGTGATGAGTGATGAACAGTGTAATTTGGAGACTTGTTCATTTAGCCTGTGCTGTTTTCCAGCTTATTTTGTACATGTTGAATAGTCAGAAAACTACACTTTCAGATATTCTGAGCTGGATTCTGTTGGGTCTAAGACAAGTGGTCTTTCTGGTCTCCAAGCAAAAGGCAGAAGTGTTCTTTAGAAAATGAACAATAGAGGGAGGCTAGTTTACCTTGAAACACTTGAAGAGAAGACAAGAAAACTGAAAAGAAAATGAAAGTCAATTTTAAATTGAAGAGGAAACTTTCAAAAAAATAGAAAGGAAAGATAAATCAGCCTAGAGGTGGGTTTTTTTAGGCGTGGAAAAATCTGAGCTCAGTGTTTGGCTTCTATTGATTTTTATATACTGGTTGGAGCTGGATCATTTATATTTAGCCATACTTGGGAGGAAGTACCTCATGTTGGTAAATGATCAGTATTCTGCTTTACTAGAGGAAAGATTCATGGGTTCTTTTTTTTAATTAATACCAATATAGGAAAAAAAATTCCTTGTGCTTTCTGAAATGACAGGAGACAAAATTAATACCAATATAGGAAAAAAAATCCTTGTGCTTTCTGAAATGACAGGAGAGTGATGTTAAAATTGCTTAAAAGTGTTTGAGGTTTGGAAGGATTTGAAAGCTTGTTTTGAAGCTTTTACTTAAGTCATCCTTCCTATGTGAACATATATGTGTAATTGTGCAGTTTGTGAGCACACTGTTTTATTTTGTTTCATTGAGACGTCTGAATTTTTCCTTTGAATGATGATTTTATTGCAGTTGATTTGGAGCTGAGTGTGTAAAATAAGCCATACTAAAATTGGCAGACTTTAAAACACTTACAGTGCCTTAGCTTGACCATAGCTTTGTCCAAAAAGTATGATTTTGAAAAACATAGTTGTTTAACCAGTTTACATCAAAATGTTATGAATTAAATCCATGCTTATTTTAGAGTTTGTCTCCTTAATTATTTCTTTGTTGTTTCAAATGATGATAGGATTACACACAAAGTTCATTTTATAATTAGTTTTAAAATTTCCTGGCAAACTGTGTATACTGAATACAAATGAGATGTTTTAGCTGCTGGTCTTAAGCACAATCTATATTTAAATTTATCTTGCATTTACAATTAAAGGTGTAGACACATTGTATGTAACTGCATTTTTTACTTTTGGGGTTAGACAATGAAGGTGTAACTGCTTTTCTTCTTCTTCACCTCCTCTGCTCTCACATAGCTTTTTGAAAAAAGGCATATTAGTAAAGGCTATTACATTTTGTTTGACCTTCCTTTCCATTTAAGATATTTGCTGGACTCTAATGTGAAGTTATGATCCCTAAACCCAATTGATAAGTAAATATAACACAGATGGTGTAGAGATGATTCTGATGATAATTCATTTCTCAGCTAGTCCTGAAGATACTTTGATTACAGTATGTTTAAGTAATTGTAACATAGTGTACAGTGTTAGTCTTGTTAGGAAGGAACACATAGGAAACAAGTCACACGTTATTCATGCCCAACAAAGGATGCTCTGTAGTGTGACCATTTTAATTTCTAATGCTAGATTAGAAACATAGTATTTAAAAATATGTCATACAGCAAGGTAAATACATTAAGCGTAGACTGAATAAAAATTTAAGTACATAGTTTGGGGCATAAATATTTGTTTTGGAAAGTATTTGTTACTATATGAAAGAAGCCAGTATGCTCAAATGCAGATTTCACTTTGCATGCAGATCGTTAAAAAGTCACATGCTTGTTTTCACTTTTATATGAGTTCTGGTTATAATGTAGTTTACTTTATCTTCTATAATTTTACTTTATCTTCTAGAATTTTGAATGAAAGTTCTGGGGAAAAAACAAACAATATTAATGAGATTTAGTTGGAAAACATTCTGTCTTTGCATGATTTATTCACACCCATCTGCCATAGTAAGCACTATTCACAGGACATGTTGATGGCAATTAGCTGACAATAAAACACAAACCCTTCCATAAAGAAAAACAGTATGTTAAAACCCTGTCAGTGTTTCTTAAAGCAGTGTTCCAAACAAACCAATATAATTTGAGATTCAACATTGTCTACTCCATAATTAATTCTCCCTTTTTTTTTTATCTGTTTCTGCAATAGGATAATTGACAGCCTAGATGGAGTTCGCTTGCTATGGTCATTGTTGAAAAATCCTAACCCAGATGTTCAAGCAAGTGCAGCTTGGGCTCTCTGTCCTTGCATTGAAAATGCTAAGGTAAGAAAATATTTAAAGTAAAAGTTTTTATATATATGTACTCAAAATAATTTTTAGATTTGAGTGATTTCCAGCAATACTTTTCTATTTGCTACTTACACTCTATTTCATTTTGTTAACTGCTTTGTAAACTTAGGTATTCACTTATCAAAAGTGAATATCTCTCCATCTAGCACTTGTTATAAAATCTGTTTTGCCTTGACAGTGTTTACTGTATTTGGAAGATATATTTTTATAACTTATCAGGATCTAAACTTACTGTTCTCAAACCATACTGAAAATCTGGCAATGCTGAAAACAGAAAGGATCTCTCACAGACTATGAATAGCAAAGGTAGTTTTAGTTGTTCTCTGCTATGAGGTACTTCAGCTATGTTCTCAAGAGACCATCATTTGGTTTCAGAGCATATTTCAGACTCAGTGCCAATGTAATCTTTAGGTTTTCTGCTCAGAGTGCCAACAAAAAGTGCCAGTTGTGAATAGTGGTGGTTGTGCAGGTCAGTTGTGCACAGAAGACTGAGCTATTCATTTATTTCTTGTCAGTTTGCAAATGGAGATAAAATGATGAGTATAAGCTGCAAGTCATCTCCTGTGAATTCTTATTACTGACCTGTGGTAAAATAAATGGGCAAGGTTTGGTTTCCCATTAGAAGTTTCCTAGAACACTAACTTTATTCCTTAATTCTTGTAGAGTAATAGCTTCCATTTCTAATTTGCCTCCATATTTAATGCATCTTTTGCATCTTCTCTCTACTATACCACAAATATATATCCTTGTACGTGTGATTTGAGATCCTGACTTTGTAAAGAATGGAAGTTGTATGTAATTGTATAGAAAATGTAAAGAATGGAAATAAAGAAAGAACACAATGCAGCCTTTGGGTAACATTTTGTGAACACTGCAGCTCAGGGGGTGACAGGCATCAAAAAGATGGAAAAGATGGAAAGAGAAAAATTCCTTCAAAGTGCTATATATCCTTAGCATTCTTTGCAGGCAGTGTTTCCTGTTCAGAATTGAGCACTGTATGGCTGCTATTCAATGATATAGCTGATTGGATATAGATACAGATGCATGGATAAAAATATTGTGAGAATATTTGGTCTTGATTTGTATAACTTTAGCATTTTGTATTTCTTCACAATGATTTCTACAATGGCAGCTTGTTTGCCATTTTTGAGGCATGCTAGTTATTCTTAATTATCTTTTCATCTTTGTTTTCCTAAATGTACACTCTAATGGAATAAATTTTTTTGGTACCTAATGGTGCAATCTATACATGTTTCCTCTGTCAAGATATGAATATACCTGCCTCTCTCTTGAACAACATTGCTATAACTCAATGTTAAAATACTACTTGACCTCAATACTGAGGTAATGCTTACTGTGTGGAAGACTTTGCAAACTGTAGTGCCAGAGTAGAACTGTGCATTGCTATAGCTTCCACTAAATGCACTTTGGAGAATCTAAGGGAGTAGAGGGCAGCTCCTGGAATTACAGATTACATGGATTTTCTGCTTGTTTTTTTTCCCCGCGGTGTTTGATGAGTGCAAGCTATGTACATCCTTAGTGTGGCTATCCTCCTTTCATCTCTCTTGGCTGCCTGCCCAAATGCTAATCTATGACCCCACAAAGAGTTCTTTGTGTGAGACTGAGGCCAGTGGCACACTGAAACAAACCTACCAATAATACCCTTTCCGCCGACACTGAATCGAAAGAAATATGTATAAAGCCTCAATTATAGCCACACTGTGGAAGTGCAGCAACTATTTCTAGCTAAACTAAATTTTGATTTTTTTTTTCCCCAAAGTTAATATTATTCAAAAATTTACACAATCTTCCAAGAAGCAGTTTGGTCTATGCTTGATTCAAAACCAGTAAGAAGTATATGATTTTTCCAAGCCTGCACTTGCAACTGCACAATGTTTAAAATAGCTGCGAGTGTGGAATCTGGATTTATTTTCCTCTTGTGTTTTTTTTTTTGTGGAAGCTGTAACAGGTCACTTCTGTGGTGTGGAGGTTCACAGATGAAATTGAACTTGTTAATAGTATCAGAAACTAATTTTTATAACAGTGTAATGCACCATCCATTTTTTCTGCACAGACATTTTCTGTACCACCAAATTAAAGGTTATCTTTGATATTTATAAAATCGTAGAAGCTAAACAATCATGCTGATAGGGCTGTTATTGTCATAGTATGTGAGTACATGTTTGTCTCTCATGCACTTACTCTCACCATAAGATTAAGAAAATTGTTTAAGATTGGAAAGTCTACCATTGCTGTTTTACCATTAGGGAGATAAAAGCCACAAAATGCCAAGACTTGAATTCTCAAGATATTAGTTGGTTTTCAGCTTTTGGGTCTAACTAGTTTGCCTGCTGTTAGAGAGGCAATTAATTGCAAAATGAGAAGATTCCAAGTTCCCATAACCCTAGATTATATATGTTAACAGTTACATTATGGTAGCTGTTTCAGAGTACCTACCATAGAATAAAATTGTGTCAGTATGATATAGCTAAGTGATATTGTTTGTTACAACAATATGATACAGGTCAGTGATATTTGGTCCATGACAGATCTATGACTTTTTAAATAGAGGATATAAATTGTACACTGTAGTACATAAACTGTAGAGCTCTGACAACTGTAATATTGGTTTGATACCAGTCATCACTCCATATGCCAGCACTAGTCCTAAATATTTTTAGCCTGAAGAATTTCTTGTAGGGGGAAGATCTTCTGTTATTGATATAATTTATGTGTTAGATCTCTCCTGAGAAAATTTGTGCAGCACCTGAAAGTGCTGCTTGTGAGTTTTAGACAAATATCTGATGATTTTGGAGAAATTAGTTCATACATTTCTTCAAAATATAAGACATGAAGATAAAAGAATGTAATTTATTCAAAAGAATTATCATAATAGAAGCAGATTGTTATTAATTAGTTCCTTACTTCCAAAAGGAAAAGTTACTGCTGGAGGCATATTTGTAGTGGCAAAGTGTAAGTGCACTGTCCAAGAAACACAAATGATTATGAAAAATGGCTAAGAGAAGTCTACTCCACTCTGTTGATGTTGGAACAGCAATATTTGGTTATGATGCTTCTTTAAAAAACAGTATTTGTAATGTTCTCCCAATGTACACCAGCCCAAACAGAAACATTCAGAGAAATTCTACAAAGATGTTATTTGGGCTATTACAAAAATCATCCAAAGGCATTGTGCCAAGAAGAGGAACATTGCCAGCCTGAGTTTGTATGAAAATACCTATTTCTTCACAGAATAACATTCTAATAGAATCTTTAAATAATTTTTATTAAAAAAAAAATTGTAGAGCTTATTTTTGGTCCTTGTATTTAGTAGAGTTTTGGGTGCAAACATTAGAATAGGAATGGTAATGTGTTTTTCTGTCCTTTGTGCTCGTATATCAGATTTCAACTTTCAGTTTGAACCTTTGTTATAGCTACAACTGTAAAGCTTTCTTAAAGAACTTCAATCTATGTATAGAGTCTGTCAAAATAATTGAACAGTCAGAGGCTGGGGATTTGAGAGACAAGTTACTATGTTTTCTTAAAATGTACTTGTAAAATGACATCTCACACTTTTCTGATAAATCATGGTTTGAGCTCTGCAGTGGAATATCATGGGTGTGCTGAAAGATGATCAGCTATCTAAAGTCATCTGTGTATTTCTTACCTAAAGGGGAAGAGAATGTCCATATTGAGACACAAAAAATCAAAACCATATCCAAACTAAACCAGGTGTAAGAGAGAAGTGTCATGAGATGGGTATGTGTGAAGGCCAATTCATCTTCAGTCTTGCAGCAGTGTTCTATACTGGAGAGGTGACTTCTGCAGCCATCAGTCTGGAGCTAACCTGTGGGTGGAAAACACACTGCTGCTGACCTATGCTATGTAGGATTCTTACACAGAGTTTGCTTGTTGTGGAAATTTTAACATAACCATATGTTAAAACCACAGAGAGCATTTCTTTACTAAAAGCAACAAAGAAATAGAGTTGAACTTGGAAATCTTCTAATATTTAACAAATAGTAAAATTATTTGCTGTTTTAAATGAATTGAGGTGCTTTGTTTACACATTTCACTGATTTATAGCTGTAGTACGTAAAGATAATCATGTTCCATACTGCACACTGTTGTTAATTTGCTTCATATTTCTTAAATTTGACTGAAGTAGTACCAATACATTTTTGTTTACGTACCATTCTTCGGTTAAGCCTAAGTCAAAATTCCCTGCTTGCATATGTACAGCATTTTCCACTTTCTTTGTTTTCCTTGCTATGCTTCTTGCAACTCTATACAGAAACTTTGGCAGTTCAAACAGTGCTCTTACTGCTCTCTTTGCATTTTCCTTTCTTTTTCTCTAGACATAGTTTTTTACATTGAACATACCTACTTCTCTATATTTGATCTCATTTTATGCTTTTTAATCCCTGATATCTGAATTTAGATGTTCCATTTATTCAGCATTTGTTATGAACTAAGCTTCAAGAGTGTACTATGAGAGACACAAAGGGATTTTTGGCTTGTTGCCCAAGCCTTCCAGAGAACCAAGGTCCTTGGAGATTTAGGAAGCCAAGGAAGCCAGACTTGGCTTGGTGAATCTATAACTGGTTGCAATGTTTGCAGGGTACATGCAGAACCAACCCATCCAATGATTATTGACACAGGCTGCCTAGTTTAGTGAACCAACTACCAGGAGTTGTTTGGGCCTCTGTCGTGGTTTAACCCCAGGCAGCAGCCAAGAACCAGCAGCCTCTCACTCACTCCCCCACCAATGGGATGGGGGAGTGAATCAGAAGGGTAAAAGCTACAAAAACTCATGGGTTGAGATAAAGACAGTTTAATAGAGAAAGCAAAAGCTGCACACACAGGCAAAGCAAAACAAGGAATTAATTCACTGTTTCCCACAGACAGGAGGTGTTCAGCCATCTCCAGGAGAGCAGGGCCCATCACGCGCAACGGTTCCTTGGGAAGACAAA